CTCCCTCCCTCCCTCCTGCACTTCCTTCCTTCTGCACTTCCTTCCTTCCTTCCCATAAATAAATGAGGCTCTGCATTTTGGAAATGTTTTCAGGAAAGTCAGTTCTGTCCCATGAGAATACTCAAGACCAGCTTCTGTCATGATAATTGGTGATTGTTTCAAGCTCCGTTCTCTAGGGAACAATTTCATGCCTGTCCTAAGGAAACTACAGTCCTCCATCATTTGAAAAACGCTCTTATGGTTAGGGAAATATCTACCACGAAGAAGATAGGTATGCCTGAACATGCCTTGGAGCTAGACAGGAAGGTGAATTTAATTGCCTTTTGATGTGTTATCCAGCCCTCTAACTCTGCCGTGAAATATAGCTGTAAAAATCCATTTTAATCCAACATAATTAGCGCTTATTGCATTCTCTCAGAGACGGATCACTATTACACTGACCAGCTATCATCTTTGTAATATATTTCCTCATTTTATCCTAATTTTGCCATCACTCAAGGAGATCTTGGGAGGCTTATCTCATTCCAGCAGCTACAGTACTGTATGTGTTTTAGAGCAGGGTGAGCCTGGCCCTGAGCTGGAGCCAGGACTTTGACTCACAATGATCACCCCACCAGTTGTTAACGTGTTCTCCATGGACAGAAACAGAACAGGGTCAGAGAACAGAAATGGATCAGACACAGATGTTTAGAAGTGATCTCTGTACACTTGCAGGAAAAGAGTCCCTGGTGCCCTCATTTTGGTCTCCCATAATGTATACAGATCTTCCACATCACTTTGCACACAGTCAGCAAACAGCCCTGTAGAGATGGGACAGAAATGATGCTTTGCTTTATGCTTTGGCCATATAAAGACCTCAGAGGGCAAGAGGCAAGCTCTTTTGGAGAACTTCTGTGCTACCTTGGCAGCTATGATAGACAGGACTGCTGTGACTGACAGCACAGAAAATTTCAGCAACAGTAGTAAAACATTTCTCCATCAAAAACCTCTTATCATGAAGAGTAAGAATGGGTTAGTGTCTGCTAGAAATGCAGTGTGAAACAGGTTTGCTTTTAAGCATGATTTTTCCTACAAGAGTGACATGATAACCAGGAACAAAGCACCAAGTAGCATTGTCTAATTTTAAAGAGAGATTCAAAACAGAAGTTAGCTTCTTCCTTCTAAGCCACGTGTGAAGTCTTGATGTTGTAGTGGTAGTAGGACTGCAGATGGAACCCTGTGACTCAGGCTTTCATTTCACAGTATTTCCAGAGCTGTTCCCTTGGGGTTTGGATTGGGGCTGGTTATTTTCTCTGTCCATGGAGTGCTCACCTGTTGGGGCAGTCATTTCCCATCTCTTACTGCCTTCAAGCAGACACAACCAGATGTAATGTCTGGTTTGGATGAACACCCCATGGAAATGTCCTACACAGTGCAGGAATGGTCCCATCACGATGCTGCAGGCGCTGCTGCCAAGCCAAGTACAACGTGCCAGTAGCATGTGACCACTGCAGGCAGAGGCAATAAGGGCAATCCTGGGAAACATGAATGTGGCCAGGGAACCCTTCTCCTCCTGGCCTTTCCCAGAAGCCATTCCCATATTCCAGGGTGCCATCCTTCAGCAAAATCTCCAGCCACCTTAGGTTTAACTTCTGGCTAACTTCTGCACTAAACAAACTGTGGACAATTTGACACAGAGTTTTTATGCCCAGATTTAAATGGTGGCATGACACTCCCTAAGACTCACATTTTTACAGCTGTTATCCTGTAACAAAGCCCTAAATTCTCATTTCCCAAAGTGAAAAACAGCTGGAGGCTTCTGGAAATATCAGTCTTGCTGCTGTGAGGCATTTAGCAGGCACCATGAAGCAAATTCAATAGATTTGTTGTTAAGTGGATGGACTGTCTTTCATGATCAAGGCTGAGATGCTCAGGAGAGAGATTAAATGTCCAGCTCCTTGACAGTTTTACCTGCTTATTAACCTTGCACCTCCTTTTCTTCTTAAGACCAGCAGACCCAAAAAGAGTTGACCTCAGATAATTCAAGTCATGGGCTCTGAGAAAGCACAGTCTGGCTCCTGATTTTTTTAGCTACTGTTTCTTCTTTCCAGGTCATGCATAATGAATTTCTGGCTTTTCATTGAAAATGAAAAATGAAATCCCATTTTGCAGACTGCTGTTGGAAGAGTGGGACATAAACAGTAGTTTCAGACTGCATTGGAACTGGAGCAAATTACATGATTGACAATGAACTGTCAAATACAGCTGAGGAAAGGAATGGGAAGAAAGTGGATTCCAGATCTTTTTCCTTTAATATTAATCAGAGATCAAACTGAACAAAAAATGTGAATTATTTAATTGCAGATTTTACCAACAGCAAAAAATTAATCCTGGGGTCTGAATTCTGCTAGCTTTTCTATCATTTGCCTGCAATAACACTGAGTCATTAATCTAGGATTGGACAAGCATTTCAGAGTGTAGTTCATCCTTTTGTCTGCTTTTGTCTGCTTATTGGATTTGCCATGACAGGTGTATGTATCAAGGGAGTTTGTTCTCACACTACAACTGCACCACTGTGGAGGGTAGCATCTCTCTATTTCTAGAAGATGTCTAAGGAATAATTCAATTCTTCATCAAAGAAACTCAGTTGAGGAAATGACTAAATAGTTTTTTAATGAAATTAAACCATTTCCTTTTTCTTGATATTTACCAGGCATGTGTACAGAGTATTTACATCTCTGGGGTTCTTAGGAGTGTGAAATTTTTACAGATGATGAAAAACTAACTACTTATTAATAAGAAGAGAAAGAAACACAGTGTGACAGCATTTCATTACTAGTCTCTCTTGCGTATTACTTAAGTTCCAGCTGAGGAGGTGTTCAGATGAAGATCATACTAGGGATGTGGCAACATATTTTAAGAAAAGGTCAGTGGCACCTGGATTAAATAAAAAATTAGTTATTTCAAATAAAAATGTTTTTTTCTGAAATCAGAAAGAATGTCCATAGAAGCTCATCCTTAAAAAGCTGTAGAAGTGGTTTCTAGTTAATTCATAGGTACTTATGAAAGTCTCAGGAGGACGTGAGGGGTTGATAAGTAGTCAGAAGCATGGATATGTATCCAGGCATGAATATCTAAATCAGTGTTTTCACACCTTGGAGTCCATCTCCCCAGTTCTGTGGATTATGCACTCCCTCAGCACAGCCTCTGGATCTCTGTGTGTTATGCAGTGATTCTTCATACCTGTCAGTCACATTTTGCTGTGCTGAGCCAATGCTGTGACCAGTTTAAAAAATTTGTGATGGAATGTGGGAGCTCATTCTTTACTGGGAAAGAGAAATAATGAGGCTCTGCATTTCAAACTTTTAGGGCTAAGGAGTGCAGTTCTCGTTTATGGATGTGGGAATGATATGGAAGAAAAAAAATCCTCAGCTTCTTATACCTGTGCAAGATAACAAACATATAATGATCCTAAGTACTCAGCCTGAAATTTAAATGCTCCAGTTAGCACTATGGTATCCAAAGTCTCTTTTAAATGCCTAATAAAATGCCCCAAAAGATAAATTTGAATATCAAAACTGGAATGTAAACTGGGAAAACTGAGACCCTGTTCCCATTTAAACAGACGATGGAACTCACTTTTACTTTTGCAAACAGTACTAAGACTACCATGACTTAGAATGTACATAATGGCTTAAACTTCGCCAGAAGTTATGGACATTCTGATAGAAATGGTCAAAGGCAAGATCTGAAATTTAACTTTCTGTCATTTCCCACTCTGGTTGGTTTCTGCCAGAAAAGGTCATGGTCAAGATACATCATCCCCAAATAATTGGGTGACCATGGTAAAAGATAATAATTAATACATTTCCTAAAATTAGAAATAGTCTTGAAAAATCCAAAAGGATCTCAAATCCTCCAAGAGATTCACTCTCTATGTGTATACAAAGCAATCACTGTGATTCTTACAATTTTCTTAGATTAGCTTGTGCCAGAATTGTGTTTTGCAGGCTACAGGATGCAGGTTTTTGAAGGAAGAGGCGTTCTGCCTGGAGCAGGCCTTTGTGTTTCACTGTGTTGGGCTGTCCTGTGGTTAGTGATTTGGCTTGGGTTGTAGTGGCTCTCTCAGAGAACTGGAGCCAGTGTGGGATGAAGAAGTCCATAGATGATATCTGCTTTTCCTGGTCCGCAATGATTTCATTTAGTTACTCTGTTCAAGAGCTTGGGGGAAAAAATGTTTTAGGCAGTTTACCTTTTGCTCTTCTGTCGTTTAATTTTTATCACAAGTGGGTAAGGAAATGGAAAAGAGAGTCAGCAGGGTTGTGCTCAAAGGAAGTGCCTTTCACTTGCACAAGCAACTTCTTTATTTCCATCCCCTCCCAGAAAAAAAAAATAAATTGTGATTACAAATCTTTAGGTGGCGTGTGACTCACGATGAATCTTAAATCCCTCCCTAGTAGTGAAGGATGTGGGTTAGGGATTCAAAATACAAATGTAGCTCCAGCAGCACTTAAGAAACTACAGATGGGGGAAGGAATTAAGAGGCCAGAGAGAATATGGTTATGATAATGAAAAGAGAGTGCAATTCCTGAATGATGTACAGCTCTGAAACATTTTCCAATTTTTAGACCTCACAGGATGAGCTGTGCAGCTAATTCCGTGAGAAAGCGTGTGCATGTGACCCCATTGCTTTCTGCAGCAGAAGCACTGCAGTTCTGAATTAAGACAAATAAAGGGAAGCTGGGAAGTAAATGGCTTTCTCAAGGTGAAATCCTAGCAACAGAAAAACCTTCAGTAGGTGCTGAGTGCTCTTGTAAAGTTCTGTGCAGACAGAAAAAGATGTATGTTAATTACTAGGTTGATACTGTTCAGCTGATGAGTGACACTTCCTGCTTAAAATTGCAATTGGCTTTTAATTATTTGGAAGACTGGCTTTCCATTGTGGCTCACAGCAGTTATTCATCTGCTTTCCTCTCCAAAGATATGGAGCAGTTTTACGCAAGCAGGAACTTTTTATGGTGAAATGGCCATTAATTATTGCAGAGTCATTTCCAGCCTCACCGTTTCACTTTCCCAAGGAATCATAATTCAACCACAAATATATCCTTTATGTTAAGGCTAATACTATGCTACAGAATGTTCTTTTTCAAGAACCTTTATTTATCAATGCAAAATCAAATTCAAACTATGGGGATGTGTATCTATCTTAGATTTGACCATGTGCTTTGTATTACAGAAGTCAATTCCCCAAAAAACACACAGTTAAAAAGAATCTTCCTGCACTCAAGGAGCTGGACAAGCATTCAGTAACGTCCAGTAAACATTTTGAAAAATCAGCTCATTAGGAAGTCGTTTTAAGAGCTAACATAAAAGTGCATATTGCAAACAGTCATAAAGTTGAACTTTCCAGTTCTTATCATGACTTGAAAGTTTGCACTAAATGTTATATTTATGCTCAGACATGTTAATTACAGGGAACTGTCTGTGGCAACTAATTCAGCCCTTTGAAACCTGAGGACAAAAGCATTGCTAGAAAGGAAATGCAGTCTAGGTACTGCAACACGGAGCAGGGAGTCAAACTGGAGCTCTGTTTTCCACACTGCCATCAGCATGATGTTCAGTTATGGCCATTTCAGGCAGAGATGATGCAAATCATGGCTGAAATCAATAGGGCTCTTTCCATTAACCTCTACAGGCTTTGGAGCAGGTCCAGGCATCCTCACCTAAGTGTGCATGTCTGTGTGTGTATGAATGCTTGCCATGGAGCACGGCGGAGCAATTTCGTAAAGATCTCTGAGAATGAGTTAAAAGGCTCCAAAGTCCCTCATAATAAAGGCAGGATGTATTGGGATGAATTTAAGGTGCCTGTTACTCCAGTGATCCCCTACATGACCCCTCAGTCACCCGCAGAAACTCGTACACCTAGCAGTACTTACCTGTTACATACATTCCTCATGTTTTCCTTTGTTTTGTTCCCCAGTTCAAGCCACATGTAGAGCTTCAGTGTGATTGCCCACCCATCCACAGTGCTTTCTCCCTAGCATCTTTTGATGGGAATTTCATGTAACCATCAGCTGTAAACCCACTTCCCTTTTACCAAGATATGCTAAAAGAACAAATCTCTCGTTTAGGTTGTAAGGACCAGGCCAAGCCAAGCCTGTTGCTCAGCTCAGTCTGGCAGCACATCAGACACATTGCTGGTTCTTGACAAATAATAAATGCTAAAGCAGCCAGGGCTTCCTAGCAGCTCTTTGTGCTGATTGCCATTGCTGCACCGCTGAAGTCACCCTGTTTCCTGGTCTTACCATTGCACATTCCAGTCCTGCCCCTGGACCGGTGAATTTCCAGATGCCCCAGCTGGAATACTGTTCCAGTCTGTGGGCTAAAGTTTTTCCAGGACCATTTGTGTTTATATTCAGGATTCCAGTAGCTAAAATGTGCAGGGACCATCCAGGGCACAGAATTTAAGCCGACCAGGAAAGCAAGAACCAGAACCACGGCTACATCATCCTCTTCTGTCAGTCCAGCAAGGATAGCCTGGAGCTGAGAGAGGATGCCCTAAAGAAAGCAGGGGAGTCTATCTCCAGGTGCTGAGAGTGCGCACATTGATGCTGACTGTGATCTGTTTTTCTCCTTGTAGAAACTGTACAGAAAAGAAATCAAGCCGCCTTTCAAGCCCGCAGTGGGGCGGCCAGAAGACACCTTTCATTTCGATCCAGAGTTCACATCTCGGACCCCCACAGGTTAGTAAGGTGGCACATGGACAATATCTCTTTTCAGTTAGTAAATTCATGCTTCCTCTCCCCTCCCTGTTCCAACACATTCTATAAGTCTGATCACCTGTGGCACTACAGGGTTTTGCCATATCCAGCAAGAAGCAACAACTGGTTTTGCTCTTCCAGCAAAAGAAGCTCGTAAGTATTTCACTGACTTCATATTAACTTGTCTTCAGAAAGAACAGATTTCACATTTTTTAAAGGAAAAATAACTATTGTTTTGCTGTTTTATTACTCATCTTTGCTTACACTAGCTAAATTTAACTATTTTAAATTACCTTGGCTTCAAAGAACTTTGTATCTCTGCAAATTAGTATGTAATCATATATTGCATAGATGTTTTATTTAATTATGACATCCCACGGACTGTTAATGTGTGGTTAAAAGCAATGAAGAATCATCAAGTTCTCAGGTCAGCAGAGTTATGTCAACAGGAAATTTGGCCCACAATATTTAGAAAATGCTTGCAGAGAGAATGTTGCTCCTGTCACTTCCTAACAGAAATCCCACACTATACTACACTTTATATATGAAGGTGACTGTTGCACAAAACTCAGTCTTTCCACTCTTTTAAGTGGAAAGCAAGAATATCAATAATGTCAGAGTGGTAATCCCACTTACAACGTTGCCTCCTGCTAGACATGGGTAAGTTACATAACATTTCTGCCTGTGATGTACCTGTGTAAAGAAGTACCCGTTTATATTTTCTAAAGTGTAAAACTTGAATTAGTCGTTTTTTGTAAAACAATCTGAAGGTGGTAAACACTGTAAATGTCACATACTATCATGGTAATAATCAAGTATAAAGTCTCAAGGTTCAATCCTCAAATTGCCCCAGAACTGTTGCAGTGAGAGGGAAAGAGCTGAGCTTTCATTATGAAAACACCTATATTAAAACACGTGAATCAAAGATGAGATTTCCTGCAGTTTTTGTTCAGGCTTGTCATGACCTACACCATTTTATCTTAAAACTAGCCCAAACTTCTATTCAAAGCATATCTCAAATTTCTTTTCATGGTGTTTGAAATAAGGGTGTCTACTCCAAATCTTTCCTCAGTCAGTTTTTTTGGGGGTTTTTTGTTTTTATTTTTTTTTGCAAAGATATTCTGACTTTTGCAAACTATAAAAATATTAAATTCTTGCTTTTTCAACTGGGACATCCACCTGTCTCCCATATATGTTGGTCATTTTTTGATATTCCTGTTCCACTGCAAAGAAACATGGTCTTAGGTTTCCAGACATGTCACATATCTGATCTTAACTGTAATGTAGATTTTCAGAGACAAATTTCAGTGATTTCTCTGAAATATTGAAGACTGCAAGTTACTCTGGTCTTGAGGGATGTGTGCTCTGGTGCTGACATGGGAAGTTTCACTGATGTGCAAAGAAGCATTAAGAGTTTGGATTGCTTTGGAAGTTCACACTCCATTGCTTGTACTGATGCCTGGGGCTATATTACACTCTACATGTTACTACTGTTGCCTAATTAAATTTGTAATTTTGTACAAGAGACTGACTTGGAAGGTTTGTTTTGGGGTGGTGGCTGGGGTGGGGAGCCCAAATTCTGCTTTGGGCTACCATGGATATGGCTTGAGAATCAAATATTTCAAAAAAATAGGTTTAATTTGAAGTATGAACACATTTACACTTTCAGAATGATGGAACAGCCCTTGCAGACTGGTAGAATATTTTTCAGCCCCTGACTGTTGACTGGTTGGGTCAAACAAACTGGGGAGAGTATCACAAATGTGTTTAATACTGGCTCACATTGCCAATGGAATAGAGCAACAATATTTTGTGGATTTTCTATCAGGGCATAGACCCCAAACAAACTAACCCTGTTACTGAGAATACCCTCAGATTGAAAGCACTGTAATAATTCCAGCTTCATGATCATGCAGTTGTGTTTTAATAAAGCTGTTAGTCACTACCAAGGAGGAGATACAGAAACATATAGTAATTTTACACTGTCTTTATTAATGAGTTCTCCTGTCTGAAAGCAAGTTTATGTCAAAGTTTTGGATCCAGTAAATCTTGTCAGTGCAGTGATTTGCTGTACCTCAGAAACTTCCTTTACCCTGGAGGCTGAAACCGCATTCTGTGGATTCTTGACTTCAGATCTAAGTGTGCCAAAGATGTGGTTTCTGATGCTGACAGATCATTTATGTGGGTATAGTTTCACATCAGTTTTTCTCAGAGATCTGTCCAAGTTGGAGGTGCTTTTTCTGGCCATTTGCTTCCTAAATTCACCACTGTGGACCCACATCTCATTTGTGGTGACTCAGGTCCTTCCAGGGAGCCAGAGTGAAGCAATCTAGGCTAGAAATGATGAATAGAATAAGGATCAAACCAAGATCATTCTTATGACCCAGCTTAGATTTCAGTCCACAAATGTTTGTACTGCTGTAATTGATGGGACAGTAGGCTGTAACCAGCAGGGATGCTTTAGGCTGTCTTTGCTGCTGAGAAAAAAGTATTTAAAATTTCACCTGAAGTATCTAAATATCCTCCTGTGCAAATAAGATGTTTGCTAACTCCAGTGAAACTTAATGAAGGAAATTTCTTAAGAGTTATGAAGCCTTTGAAAACCCTTAAACTTAGATGCTCTAGTGGAACAAAGAATTATTACTTTTTCACAGAAAGAAAGATAACCATGATACATGATGGGTGCTTGTAAGCGGATCTAATTCAGATCTATGAAATTATTCTGATTTATAAGGCCGAGAAAAATGATTTAGGTTTCTGAGCTATCAGTTAATTAACATGATTTATGCATAATTTTGCACTTAGCAAAAATGTTTTAATGGGAAAATCATTTGTTGGTGATGAATATTTAATGGCAAACACCAAATCATCAATAGTTCATCTGCAGTATTTGCTGAAGCGATTGGCAGTGAATTATGAAGGAACAGTTATTTTTAAATAGAGCTGACCTACTGCTTTAGTTTTAGAGCTGGATCACAGCTTTTCTGAGGTTCAGAAGTGTATTATTGTCATTCCATTTTTAAAAACAAACATTTTTTTTTCTCTTAATTAATCCCTCATGTAAAAATCACTGTTATAGATATGCCAGGGTAGGAAGTATCCAGTGATGCAAGAGGTCTGGTGTGATTCATCCACATATTTCATCCATGCAAGGAGAGTGAATGTCCATGAAAAACACTGAGATAAACAAAAAACCCACATCATTTTACCAAAAGGCAATCTTCTCCATCTGAACTCTGCTTGCTGTCCAATAAGAACACACTGACTTCTGACTCCTGTGAAAGCTGAGGCAGCTTTGTGATGAGAAATAGAATTAGCTGCATTCTCAATTTTGTTTATTCCCAAGCAGATATATATTGGTTTTATCAAGTTCTGACTTCTGCTCCTTTACCCATTTGACCAGTAGGTTTATAAAGAGGGTGTACATTCTAAAAAGTACACATTTGTACATATTTTCAGGGCCTCAAGCAGGTGAGTCAGATATAAAGCTCAGTTGGGATGTATTTTCTTTAGATAACTGGGTATTTACACACTTTACTATAGGGAAATAGCTTTCTAAAGAAAGTTTAGCTCTGTGACTTTGTCAGTAAATCACATGGTGAATTGGAGGAAATGTGAAAGGAGAAAAAAAAACCCAAAACAACCCACAAGCCCCCAAAAAACCAAATAAAAGGTTAGCAAATTTCAGTAATACAGGTTTTATAATACCCAGCCAGTTGCCAAGGAATGGTTTACAAAGTGATTCTTCTTGCTCAGGAAAGTACCTTGGATAAAACATACACTGGGGAGAAAGATCTCTTTAAATCTTTTGAGAATTTTAAGTGAAGCACAGCTCTGCTTGCTTTGTCATGCTGATTCTCTCACTGAGCAGTGGTGCAGGTACAAAGAACTTCTGTTTGGTTATTTCATTCCAAAGGTAGAATAACCCAGGATTTTTTGAATTTTAACCATTCTTTCCCTCCCTTTGGAAAGCCAGGGGAAGGAATTGGGGGAAAAAAATCTCCTAATCACATGGAGGTTAGTTAAAACAATCCTAGTCATTTTTTTCTGCCTGAGGATCGGTCAGCCACTGTTTTCCCTGGAGTACATCCCAGCTCCTAAAGCGGCTCCAGAAGATTCCTATAAGGCCACAAACCATGTAGTATTGTGCTTTTACATTGGTTTCATGCATCCTCTGTATTGTCCTGACCCACACAATGTGCCACTTCAGTCTTTGTAATTTCTGTAGCCAGTTTCTGTAGCCAAGCCATTCTGTAGCTGCAAAGGACAGATAGAGCAGCCTGCAGCTTTCTTCCACTCCCTGGAGAACCTCTGCTGAGCCCTGCAGGGTGCCCTGCCCTGAGTCTCCTCACCGAGCCTCTCTGCCCTGTGCCTCCTCTCTCTCTCTCTCTCTGCACTCTTGGCACAGGCAGTACTTTGCCTAAGAATGAAGGTGGCCTATGAACAAAATCCCTGTATCCAAGAGGATATTGCAAACAATACCCCTGCGCTGTTCAGATCCAGAGGAGAGGGATGGAGAAGGCACACCAAAGCTGTGATATGGAGGTGAATTATATTTCCCTTGTCAGATCTGCTATTGACTGGCAGGGGTGACTTTGTCTGTTGCGGTGCCATGCTACTCCTTTCTGTTCTTTTGTGCAGCTCATAAGGCCATTCTTTTCCTTCTCCTACAGATTCCCCAGGTGTTCCTCCAAGTGCCAATGCTCATCATCTTTTCAGAGGGTTCAGCTTTGTTGCCTCTAACTTGGTGCAGGAGCCTGCACAGCAAGATGTGCACAAAATCACCGTTCACCCAATTGTGCAGGTACTGATGCTGGTTACATTTCACACCTGATGTGCAGATACGTATGTGTGTATTTAAACTGCCCAATGTTCTCACTGGTATTTCACAGCTACCTAGTGTAGGAAGGAGGTGTTTTACATGCAGCATGTAGGTGTAGGAAAATGAGAATTTTTTGGGAAGGCTTTTATGTATGAAACGTTCCTCACCACCTTGGCAAAGGAAAAAGGAACTGCACTTTGTCACAACTAAAATAAAAAGTGCTTCTCAATACCTGAAACAGGATTCCAGTTGTGCATGCAGGGCAGGTAATGAAATACTGTTTTTTCACTGAATGCATTTTATTCTCAAGAGTTTTGTCTTGGATTATATGATCCAGTCAGTCTGTGCTGGCAAATGGGTTTGAGCTACTGCTATAGGCTCCCAGAGACACAGAGCTCAACCTCCTGGGTGTAAGAGGCAGAGCAACTCCTGCTGCTGTCCAAGAACCTGGGTGTACTCACCTAAACCAGGGTGCTTGATGGGGGAATGTACCAGACACTCGGTTCTTTGCTGCCATTCCCCTAAAAAACCTATCCAGTTGTACTTTAAACCAGAAACATATTGCTACAAAAGATTTGATACATCAGAGGACAAACGAACAGGAGAAAGAACTGAGCTGCTTAAAGATGCAGCCAATTTTCTCACTAGGAAAAAGCTCCCTCTCCTACCCACAGCCACAGGTATAAATACTTCAAGGACAGAGACCCTGCTTGTGGTTTTTGTAGGTTTTCATCTCTATTTTAATTGTTTATGGTGGAATATGTCATCTTAAAGATGCTCTGAAGCCACAGTAAGTGAAATGTTACCCAAGTGATTAAATCCCAAAAATGTTATATATATTCATGTGATTTGCTTCGTAAAAATGTATTGAGTATTGACATATATACATCTTAAAATTAATCAGGTTCCATCTGGACTTTGCTAGCAAGGCTACATTTTTAGACAGAGGATTCTGGAGAATTTTTAGAGGTGTTGGTTGTTTCTTGAGTCTTTGGATGGAATTTGCAGCAAAGCCTCAGTTGGGGTTCACCATTGAACCTCCCCAGACATTTTCCAAAGAGCATATGAATTAATGGCTCAAAATATGAACTTCCCTCTCACAAAGAAACTACAGATAAACATATCCTAGACAGGACCTCCTGAGCTGGAGGCACTCCCCGTATATGGGGTATCTCTCTTGGGCACTGTGAAGCTATTAGTATTTTATATGTTATCTGCCCCTCAGTAATTAGAAATCAGTTTATACTGTCAAGATATGAACGTTTGTCAGGAGGTTTGGCCCACAGTTTCCTATGAATTTCTAATATAGGATGATTTTCTGCATTCCAGAAATAGTTTAGAAAACCCCAGGGGTTTTGCCACTACTTCTACATGGAGAATTCATCTTACAGACTGGAAAAAGGTAGAAAGGAAGAGACACATTTCCTTGTTTAAGTAAAGAGCTTCATATTTTTTTAACTGGATTTAGGAAGCTGCTAAGGACAAGAGAGCTCTGTGAATGAGAGGGGATCAAGCTGCTCTTTCAAGGGGAGGCTAGTCCTTGCTTTTACATATCCATGTCCTGATTGCCTTGCTTATTTTGTCTTTCCCTGTAGCAGTTACATGGCAACAACATTCATTTTACTGATGGATATGAGATCAAGGAGGACATAGGAATTGGCTCCTATTCAGTGTGCAAGAGATGTGTTCATAAAGCTACAGAAACAGAGTTTGCAGTGAAGGTAAGAAAGTCTCTGGTAAATGCCAGAAATGCAGCTGAGGCTGCTCTGCCAGCCTGGGCAGCAGTGGGGTCGCTGGATATTTTGTTGGCTTATTTCTTCTTGCTGGGTGTCGCTCGGTATCTTTCCTGTTTTGTAAGATGGCAGGTTTCATGGTAAGTCTTTCATATTTTTGCACACTTCAGTCCCAACATGTAGAACTCCTCAGTGGAAAAAACCTTTGCTGTCTTGCATGGAAATCCTGTTAACCACTGCAGCCATGCTCATTACAAACTGAATAAGATTTTTAACATATCCTACACTGAATCATCATAATTTTAAAAACTGACATATAAAGTTATTGCAAAGCTGGAAAATTTATTTATTCCTCTTTCTCAAGTTGTTTAGAACTCAGTTTTTTTGTAATTAGACAGGTTTTTCAGTGAAAATCATGATCACATAGAAAAACTCAGATTTCCCTTTGTCTTCTCCACCTTCAAAATGGATGCTATCAAAAGGAGTGAAAGTCAATCTTCAGCAGAGATTTAAATATTGATTTGGCTGGGCATCAAAGAGAAGTCAGTGAACTTCAGACTTGATCAAGCAGTGGTGCATAAAACAGAGTCACCTCAGCCACAGAGGCCAGGGAGCTGCTGAGATGAGGGAAGAACTTCAGTAGAAATGCTTTGGAAGGCCCTGCTCAGAGAGCTGTCATCATCTCTGTTCACTGCTATTGAATAGACAGCATGCAGCCATTTCAGGGGGCACTACAGACCAGTGGCAAGTGGTTGTGAGATAACAGCTCAGAGGAAGAGTTTCAAACATGCACTCTAAGGAAGAGTTCAGCAGTGAAAACACTCAATCTGTTAGAAAAGTGTTTCATGATTTTGTTCTCATACCAAAAGGGGTAGGATTAGATTATAATATGGAACTTGAAAAGGCGGGGGAAGTTAGGTCAGATCCTTTCCCTCTGTAGCATCTCATGGGAACAGATTGCAGCACAGAGAGAAGTGTAGTTACCAAACTTGCAGCAAATGAGGGGATCTAGCCAACTGCCACTCTACTTGCGCTGTTTTAAAATTTTAGAAAAGAGATGGAAATTTTGCTAATAAATGAGATTGTCTTTGCTATTAAATGAGATGATGAAAGCTTAAGAAAGAGATCCAAACTGCAGTTCATGGGATAAATTACCTCCAGATAGTCAATAGAATAATATTAAACATTTTATTCAGTCTTATTTTCCACTGCTAGACTTATGGCAAAGCAGCATCCATGAAAATCCATGAAACTTTTCATGTTTCCTCATGATGGCCAACAAAAATCTGGAAGCCACTATTAACCTACAACCTGCTGATGTCACTGTTCAAACAATGGTTGATTTTTCTAGGGTACACCACAATTAGGAGCAGATCTGTGGGCTTGCATATGAATGTGCTACTATTTTCATTTCTAATGAATGAAAAAAATCAGAGCTTCTCAGTGCCCAGGTCATTTGTCAAGAAGGTGTGGTTCTGTATAATTTAAACACATCCATGATGAACAAAATGTATACCAAATTTAAGTGGTAACTTCAGTATTTTATTTATATCAAGTATTGTGGACAGATTTATCAGTGTAATACAGCCAGTGTGAAACCAAAATAGAAAAACCTCATTCCTTGAAGATGTCTGAGTGCCTGAACCTTACAGGGTTCAGCGAGCTCAGCAGGGTGGGTGTTTGGGGTACCTCAGGGGATCCAGAACAAAGCCAAGGCATGGAAACACTCAAAGCTCCAGAAGAGTTCATCACTGAAATTGCTAGGTTTATGCTCTTTTACAATGTTTTCATATTTCCTCTTTTTACTCCTTTCTTCCTCCACTTCTTACAACTCTTTTCTCGTCAAGTAAATATGTCTTGATTTTGACTGCCAGTGTAGGCAACATGTTCAGCATCTCAATTTCTGACACAGCGTGAGTCAAATGCGTAGCACAGATTTGGGGTTGGAGACAGTTGGTGGGTTTCTGTTTGTTCTGTCTTTCCAGCACATTTAGTGCTGCCTCTTTGGCTATTAGTCCTACCAGTATATTAATTTTATTTTTCTTCCAATTTTATTGTAATTTCATAATAAGATTTTATCATTTTGTTGTCAGAGTAACTCACTTTCAAAAAAAAAATTGCACAATGCCACCCATTTCAAGTAATTAGCACAGGAGCTGTAACTGATATTATCATAATTATATATCAGTCCCTTGTGACACGCATCCTTTAACTCTCTCTATAAAAATCACTGTAATTAGGCTCTTTTCATTTCTGTTAGTAAGTATAATTTTCTCAGTGTTCTCTAGTACATAACATTCACGGGGAAAAGTATCTGCAGTGATAGTTTGTGTGATAGGCAGCAGCCCCATTTGCCTTGCACCACCTCACTAAAAGCTCTGTCTTTCAGAGGAACTGCCAGCACTTCAGAGAACATCATCCTGTCTCCCTCAGGGGATGCTGGTGATAGGGAAGGAGTTAAGGAAATTAACCAAAGGATTGGTAGCATCACTGCGGGAAGACACACACCGTGTCACCGTGTAAATAAATAATCCTTCCAAGGAGCCTGCCACTCACCTTGTTTGCTATTGTGTGGTGTCTTACTGAGACAGGAGATTACCTGGCCAGAGTAACTCGAGTCCAGAAGCAGAATATATTTATTAAAATGCAAAACACTTCATCCCTTTTCCTTTTGCTGCTAATTGGGGGCATCTTGTAGAGATAACTAGATGTTTAGCATTGCAAAGAAGTTCTTTCCTGGTGTTGTAAAAGCTTTTGAACAGATCTGGAATTTCACTCTTTTCAGAGCTCACTGAGATTAGGCACGTTGCTCACTGAGGAGCTTTTGGAATTTCCCCCAGACACCTCTCTGCACCTGTAGGCAGCTGTACTGCCTCTGTAAATCCAATCATGGAGCCTGCTGAAGAAGAGAATTTTCTTGCAACCTATTCCCTCTTCTTCTATGTCATCTGTAAAAATGAAATGCTAATAATAAACTCAAAAGCTATTTTAGACATGCCCTTGGGCTCCTAAATGCAATATTTCAGAATTCAGACATATCTCCACTTCTGAGAGCATTTCACTACCCTGCAAAAGAAAACCCTGTAGACAGTCAAGTTTCCTACAAATTGAGTTTACCCTGAAACTAGTAACCACCTATCTAGGTCAGTGCAGGTAGATGTTGGTTTAGCAAGTCCATGTGTCCATATTGCACATATGTACTCTGAGGAGCTTTTGAAATTTTACTCTTAACTTTCTATTTCATTCCCAAGTGAAAAAAAGTAAAAAAGCTCTGAAATACAAGTAAAGATTTGTTAATTCTTCTGAATCACAGAATATTCTGAGGTGGATGCTTCATAATACTCTGGTAGAAAGAAGAAAGGTGGGAAATAAAAGAGTTTTTCTCCTCTGATAGACTTCTATTGTGCTTCACATTCTTCTGCTATAATATTAATCATCTTGACTACAGCAGGCCTAATTATTTTTAATAGGAAAGAGAACTGGCATTGTCAGTCATAGTTACAAACTTCACATGGGTATAAATGTAATGGTGAGGTCAGACGCAAAGGAAAATCAAATCAAAGCATTAAGTCACATCAGTATCTATAGAAAATAAAATAATTAAGTAAAAGAATGATGTTAGAGGACATGGTAGGGGCTTCTGTGGGTGGAAGAAAGTTTACAATGAAAGCCTAAACAGATTAAGAGCTCTTGTTTGGAGCTCAGAGTTCTTGGTGAATCAGATTTTACAGAACCTTACAGAGATGTGATGCAATTAGCATATTCTAAATGTTTTTCTTTCCTTAAAACTATTGCACAGCTTTGAAGCTTGGAGCGCTAGTGAAGCTTTCAAGCTGGATTTTTGGATGTGCTTCTTACTGATGCCAGATTAAGTAAATCAGAAAGGGACTTGATTTCATCTCCCTGTTTCTAAAGGTTTATCTATTCAGATTGACTCCTGATCCCCACGAGTGATTACTCGTGGATAACAGCCAAGTAGAAATTTCTGCTGTTGGGCCAGCTCTGCCCCCAGTACTGCCCCAAATATTTCAGAAGTCGGTGGTTTAGATGCCAGATTCAACACCTTAATGTCAACTAGCTTTTTCTCCAGGTCAAAAGAATATCCAGCTGGTTAAGTCTTGTGGGTTTTTAGTCCCTCCATGCTGTTAGAGGCAAGGCAAAAAACAAGGTTGTGTATCCTAAATACAGGATATACATTATTCCCTCCTTTGAAGAAGAAAAATACAGTAGAGACAATCTCAACTGACAAGTCCAATTTTTCAGATGCCAGTGTTACAGTGGAATTTGGATCTTGAAACACATGTGAATCTCATGACTTTTTCCTATCTCTGTAATGTACTAACCAACTGTTTGGCTCCAGATGTTCCACAGTTGTGAGCAAAGCCAGCAAGCTATCAATAAATAGAAATCAGTAACTCACGAGAGCTAGGCCTGTATAATCAAACTGGTTGTATATGTCTATTTATTTTGCTAATAACAGTGAGTGACATAGTCACCAAAGCCCATTTAAATTCCAGAGTTTTTTCATAATTTCCTTAAACTTCATTTTCCTCCTCATTAATTTCATGGTCTTTGTTTTTTTCTAGGTGGCTGGTGTAAGTAGATAAAATTGCACACTGATCTGAAGGCACGAGGTTACACAGTAGTATTTAGTGGCTCTACATTTTCCCCTTAGCCTGCACTATGTCTAGGTCAGGAGTTTAGTGCTGAATGCAGTAAAGAAAATAGGAATCTTTCTTTGTAAAATAAGAAAACAAAAAAATCAGTCCAAACATCATTAAAACTCCTTGAAAGTTAAGGTTTCTGTAGATCTGAAGAGATTTGTTTAAAATTGTCTCTCCTTAACTATAGAAAGTCACTAAAGTGAAACAGACAGTGGAAATTTCTGGGAAGGCTTTGTATCTATTTTTGTCTCTTTGGGATCTGGTGGAAAATGGATAAATATATCGGTACTTAAATAGGAAGGTCAATGGAAAGTTTGCTAGATG